AAGAATTTGTATACATGCAAAGAATTGTATGCGCAACGTCAATTTAAAATGAAAAGTAATTTATCACTCACTGATACGATTCGCAACAGCAGAGTTGTACATCGTTAACAATATATGTTAAACTGTAAAAATACAAATATGTATGTGATTATTATATATTAATTATGTAAAATCAAAATTATTGAATTAAATATACTTTATATTTTATATTTTTAAAAATAAATATTTATTAAAATAATTATGTAGGATATCAAAAAAGTCTTTCTTTTAAATATAAACTCACAAAATTGTATACGTATGGTTTTGTCTCTAACACTTATTCGAATCCTCGTTCGAATCATTTAAATATATAAAATAAAAACACAGAACAAATACTTTATTTTACACAAGTAGTAAATAACAAAAATGTAAGACACTTACCTCACCATTTTTCCGCCGTTGCCCGATGCCTCCTACCCAGTGAGAAATGATTCGCCGATCGATTTCGAAACGATGTCGAACCGACGTCAATTTGACGGTATCGATGTCGATTCGACATCGTTTTGACATCGATCGACAAATCATTTCTCACTGGGTAGGCCGCCTCCTCCTCTCAGATTTCCTCGTTGCACTCACACAACACTCACTCGCGAAAATCATCGATCGCGCGAAATTTCGGGCACTCCCGTACGCGATGTGAAATGCGCACGAAATATTATTAACAAATATCGCGTGACTTTCTGTCACACAAATTACTCAAACTAACAACTTGCATTTTTGATTCGGAAGAATGGATAAATCACTTTTGAATTGGCAATATACAACGCGAGCATCGGAAGCATAATCTGCGGTAAAGAAATAATTATTCGTTCGCAACGATATTTTACAATCTTTGTCATTCAATCTAATCCTCGAACGACAGAGCGAGTTACAGCGCGAACGCCGAAGTCGTACAAATTTCTCTCTTTTCCCGAAAATGGAACAGATTACACGAAATCGACAGATAATTAAAAGCGCGGTGCGTAAACGAGATGTAACCGCGACAAAGTACCACGGTTTACACTCATATTTTAGATGAGTTAGTCTCGTGAAATATCTATGTATACGTTGATAAAGAACCGTCGCCTCAACACGCAATTCGTTTCTCATTACAAGTTGTAGAAACTTAATAATTAATCGAGGAACGTTACTTGTTACTAACGAAGGTGTGCAAGTCAATAGCGTTTTATCCATACATTTATCGCGATCGAGTCTTCGAAACCGATAACGCGAAAGTAATACGACACACGGAGCGACTCTCGCTGCTGCCTGCCGGCTCGACATTCGGCGAGCGAGTGATAGCGCAAATCTATCGATTAAGCCTCCGCTACAATGATTCTCGGTTCTATCTACAATGGTCGTAGTCGTAAGAATAATCGACTGCAATTGGTCAATTCTTATGCGTCTGACTGAATTGACCAATCGCAGTCGATTATTCTTACGACTACGACCATTGTAGACAGAACCGAGAATCATTGTAGCGGAGGCTTTAAGAGACCTCTGTCCCAGTGAGAAATGATTCGTCGATCGATGTCGAAATGATGTCGAATCGACGTCGATCGACGAATCATTTCTCACTGGGGTGAATCCACTTCGATATATTATCATTTTTCGTTATTACTTGACCTGACGATTCGTGGATTACCTTGCGCTCTTGATCGCAATCCTCTTCAAATTACGCGAGACATTCATCACGACGAATCACCGTAGAAATCAACGATATGTGACCACGTATCGTACGTACGAGACGATCGCGTTACGAGGAGCGACGCGACAACACGCGGAACATCCGCCTCGCTCGACTGAACAGCGTCGACTAATTCAGCTCAATAGATTGTTTTCGATCGAGGTGTTGACGAGGTGATCACGCGCTACGTTTTTTTGGAACCAACGTTCGGCGACCGAGTTGTTTACAACGCTCGGTCTATAGCGCTACGTCATTTCTTGGAATCCGCGCTCGGCAGTGTTTACGTCGAGCCGCCGCGCGCCGCGGTGTCCAAAAAACGTTCGTTGTGTCGCATTACCATTCGTACCGCCGATACGAATGCCACGGGACCGTGTGTAGTGCGCGTACGATCGTTCATCGCGTAATTAAACGACGCCTCGGGCTGCCCGATCGAGCTTTTTGACTTGGCACATACCGTGGCGACTTCCGTCTTCGTTTCGAATCGCCGTCGACCGTTCGTGCTTGCTGTTCGACGTAGAAATGGAATATAAAGGATAACCGTGAGTGTCGAATTCTCGTCAACGTGTAATGGCTCCTGCCCACTGGACGCGGCTAACGTTACCGCGTCCAGTGAGCAGTAGTGCAATTCTGTAACTCGTTATGTCGTCGTTAAGGCCTTCACACATAAAATTCCGTAAGGACGTAAAACGTAAGCGTAAGAAAATCAACAGGTTGGATTTGCTACTGCTTGCGTCATTGCCTTACGTTCTCGACTGTGATTGGTCGATTTTCTTATGCTTACGTTTTACGTCCTTACGGAATTTTATGTGTGAAGGCCTTTACGGGCTTTGCGCAGCTTTTCTACGGTATATTAGATCTGCGCAAAGCCCGTAACGACGACATAACGAGTTACAGAATCGCACTACAGGAGCCATAAGTTTATGTGTTTCTTTGAGTGAGCGATATCGAAGTGAAAAGTGATACACAATCGTCGCGCGTCGTCGACGCGACTCGTGTAGTACCGGCGCCATGTTGGTCCGTGGACACGCAGTGACTCGTTCTCCCGCGCCGACGGTCGTCGCGGCGCATTTCACCAAGGCACGGCATGACGCCGGTGAGTTCGGATACCGATCAAGCTTAGCAATCGCGGCGCAGATTCGATACGCGTCGATGATCCACCGGGACGCGTATTTCGCGAGGAACCGGGAGTCTTTTCGGCCGCCGTAACCTCGCGCGACGCGGACTATGCCGAGCTCCAATTCTCCACTTCGTATCTTTTCGTACGCGTAGAATCTCGCGAGTGATGCGCAGTGAGAGCAACGTCCGTGCGAAATCGCCCCCCGTTAACGCCCGCATTCGGTCTCTTTTCTCGGGAAACGCGTGAGCTTATCCCTTTTCGCCGAAACGTACCCGCCGATTTGCGCGACGCCATCGAGCGTATTCCCGCGCGCGATCGCGTCTCTCGCTCTCGTTTGCAATAGAGCCCGCGTCGAATAATTAGCGCGCGCGATCGTAATTAGTTCCTCTTTCGCGAGTGTTGTGTTGTGCCAGTGCGAAATGGAGGAG